GCGATCATGGTATTCATATTCTGAACTTGGACCGTCGAGCTATAGATTGCAGTTTATCGATCATTCAAGCAGCCGCCTGAATTTGTTTCGATGTAGTCGATAGTATCAGAGATTTAGCCGACTAAAAGTATCGTTGACTACTATAGACTAAATCGATAGTTTTTACTACTTTTTACTACTTTTTACTACTTTACACTACTCTTCGGATATAATTCTTTTCCTGCTTTAGCAGTAAATTTTCACGCCATTTTCATATATTGGTAGTACTGTACGCACCTAACTTCTCCATGGATAAAATATATTTCCAACAAAATTGTTTTATAATTTTCCAAGGAATTAATTCATATTTCTGGAATCCACTGCTTTAATTTGAATCCTGTTTCATCGAAATTAGTACAGTGGAGTTTGAAATATAAGAATTTTTCTTTGTGTCGAAGAGTGAGTAACTTCACGTTGAACCTCGTCAGAACGGGTTTCTCTGAAGTGCTCAACAGTTAGATATTTCTTTACCACCCAGACTATGGCCGACGCGTAAGTGTTTGCTCGAGGTCTCAATGAAATCTAAAAACATCGCTAATTAATAGAATTCCGACGATCTTCATATCGAATATTTAAATAAATTTTTTCATTCTTTATCGAGCGTGTATCAAAGTTTTCGGTCCTTTGACTCAAATTTAAACTTATCGTTCGATACTGACAAGTCATAACACTGATCAGTTTGAAATATAAAATACAGTGTTTGATCACTAAAAATTATATTCGTCCTCTAAATCCTCATTAACGTTCATATTGCATGAAATGACCCAGGTGTTAAGTACTTAAATTCATCATGAAATCTCTTTCAATTCCAACCTATGCTCTGTGCCATGCAACGTGTCGATTGTAGTATTCATTATAAAATGATATTGTACACAGGAAAAAAGAGGCTGCACCGGCTAAAGCTGCCGAGGCTAAAAAGCCGGAGGAAGGTAAGAAACTTCCAGCAGTACCAGAGTCGGTTCTTAAAAGGAGGAAACGGCGTGAGACAGTGAAGGCTGCGCGTCTTCAAATATCCATCAAGGTATTGCCCGAAAACTTTTTTTAAATATCATCTCGATTATTTCAGTTGTTAAATGAATAATTTCTTCATTTACAGCAACGTGCTAGACACTATCAGAGAAGGAAAGAAATTTTCAAACGAGCTGAGAAGTATGTGAGGGAGTACAGAGCAAAGGAGAGAGATGAAATCAGGTTAATCAGACAAGCCAAAAATCGTGGTAATTACTATATCCCAGGCGAAGCGCGCCTTGCATTTGTTATACGTATTAGAGGGTAAATATGAATATTTTATCAAGTTCGAATTGAGATAGAATTTTTGTTAAACACCACGTAACTTTTTTCAGTGTGAATCAGGTTGCTCCGAAAGTACGCAAGGTACTTCAACTGTTCAGATTGAAACAAATCAACAATGGTGTATTCGTCAAGCTGAACAAGGCGACTATTAATATGCTCCGTATCATTGAGCCTTATATCACGTGGGGATATCCAAATCTGAAATCGGTCAGGGAATTGATCTACAAGAGGGGATTTGCCAAAATCAATAGGCAACGCATCCCCATCACGAGCAATGCCATCATTGAAAAGAGACTTGGTCAGTTATTCTTTGTTACGTTCAAAAGTTTATTTTATTACTTTTGACAAGTCCATAGGAGTTGCATTACGTTACTAATCAATTCTCTTCCATCTTGTCAAAGAGTAATAGACTATCTAATAACTTTGATGCACGTATTTTGCATCGAGGCAGCAATAGTTCTTACAATTCATAATTACATCCATTTTTATGTACTTTGTTGTATAAATAGTGTGATCGTAATGTGCAAAATGAATTTTTGCAGGCCGCTCTGGAATCATTTGCGTGGAGGACTTGATCCATGAAATATTCACGGTTGGACCAAAATTCAAGTTCGCAAGCAACTTCTTATGGCCCTTCAAGGTATGCAAATCTTAAAATCACAACGTCGACATAGGCATGATTATTGAGCTATTCGATGTTCTATAAATCTCCTACTATGTCGTAAAGCAATACGGGTTTCTCTATATAGCGCGCATGTAAATTTGCGCTCTTCAGTTAAACTCAAACATTTCGTTATTTAAAAATACTTGAACTTTGTTGTTATAATTGTTTCGTATGTTTCAGCTCAACACACCCAACGGCGGATGGCGCAAGAAGACAAATCACTACGTGGAAGGTGGTGATTTCGGAAATCGTGAGGACAAAATCAATGAGCTCCTCAGGAGAATGGTTTAAATTTGTACAAGTCTTAATAAATGAAAATTTAAATAGGACATATTATATTCTGTTATACATTATCCTGTTCCCTGTTTATTAATCTAAGTATAAATATTGTTACGCGTATTATTCGAATAAAAGATTGAAGTGCCCTCTTCGTAGTTCGATTCGACTGGTTATGTCCAAAATATTAACAGTTACCGGGGAGCACCGAATAAAATTTTATTACTGTAATCAATAACAGCACTGCTGTGTCGACCTCAATTATAATTCTCTTGAACACAGACGGGCGTATATGAGCCAAAACACGAACGCATGCGTTGAGTTGGTATACATATATTGCTATCGAGTAGCTTTGTCGAGTCGCATGCCGTAATTGCATGAGAATGGTACGCCAAATCGAGATTTATGAGTCTTATACCAGAGTCTATGAATTAAATATTTTATTTACTAATAGAATATTATTTTTAACGTAGAAAAGAGATTGTTAGATAAACGATTCACGAGGATATTTAGCAATTACTTAATAATTACGGTTGCATCATAACAGTTGTACGCACACGTGAGTATTATACGCGTATACATATCTAACCTTCGGAAAATTCACATTTACCAATCTTTCGAAAGCAAATACTAATTACTTTCATTCATTTTATTAAGTATTTCCTACGTTCTTTTACCACGCGCTCGTCTTCACATGCGTTAATTTCGATGGACTATTGGACTATAGTATAAATAGTCAGTTTCGTTGTCGCGTGCTCTAGGGTTCGAATCCTGCCCATGCCGTTTTACTTTTCATTAATCACGTTTGTGGATTTTAACTAACGTAATATCGTAAATGCGTCGTAAGATTTTATGTAATAAATACAGATTTGCTAATTTCTATCCCTTTCACGTACTTCGAACGTTTGAAATAATATAATGTTTCTTGTCAATTAAATTTTTAGACTATTAATAATGAGCAACGAGACTGTGGATCCTGGAACTTCATGTGATAATATGAGCTCATCAATTAATAAATCTGCTCAATCATCATCCAGTAATACTACAATGTATATTCTTCCACCAAATGTATTGCAAAATCTTAATTTAACTAATGTTATAAGTAAAGGTGAGTATTATTTTATTAGTGTGCAATTAGGAACGGAATAAAATTTTAATTTATCATTGTACATTTTTCGCACAGAAGAAAGTATTGTTTCTACCATGGACTTGTGTAATAAAGATAATTTGAAACTACAAGTGATTTCTAAGTCTAATGGGAATTCTACGAATGAGAATACTACACTAAAGAATGTGATAAAACGAAGCACGGTTATACAGGATAATAGAAATAATACAGAATCAACGGAGGATTCGAAAACTGATATAAGCGAAGACAAGTTAATATCTGATACAGGAAACAGTCAACATTTAAACAGGAGAAAGAGTGTCATACAAGTAGCTAATTCCGTAGACGTTTCTTCTGTTATAAAATGTACTACTGACGTAGAAGATGATCAAGCTACCTCAAACGATGTACCAACGTCTCAAAGGCGAGAAACTATGTCTGGACAAAACAGCGAAAAATATTTAAATAGCCAGTTAGAAACACAAAAGAAAGTGGAAACTAAGTGTGAAATGAATTCAAATATACATGAGAGATCTAAACGTATTCGTAAGCAAACAAACTTTGATGATTATATTACGACGCATAAAAAGGAGTCACCGAAACAGGAAACTAAGACTTTACATCAGAAAACGACCACTGCTTGTGATGAGAAATCGGACGACCCAATATGTTGTATTTTTTCAGACGATGGAGAAGATACGCTTAACTTAAATACTTCTACTCCCGTCACATCAGCTGTAATAAGAGACTCACTGCCTTCGAACTTCAGTAGCAATTCCGGAATTAATACTGATATTACAAATATTAAACGGAAATGCTACTCGGTATATATGCAAAATTATCAAAATTTAGTAAAGGATGAAAGCGCGACATCGAAAAATTCCAAAGGTATAATGCAAACAAATGATGAAGTAGCTGCCGGATTAACAAACACCTCTGAACGTGTCACTCTAAAGAATAATGAGAATCTAGACCTGTGCGAACGTAAAGAATTAAACTTGACGCATTCGCGCAAACACTTCAATGATAACATCGATGTTGATAAAAGCACGTTAGTTACTCCGCTGAAGCACGGAGACCTACGTTCGAACTCGGTCAATGAAATGGATAATAGTCAAACCTCAGATGTTACATCAGTGAAAAAAAGAAGAGGGAGGCCCAAAAAAGTTGTACCTTCGCCACAAGAAACAATGAACGATGCCTCCCTTACAGAAACAGTTATTCATACCAAGAGACGTAGTCAAAAACTGTACAATATTAGTGATGATATCTTAAGTGACAACAGTAGCACTGAAAATGAAAGTATTAACAGTCTGACTGGTAATCAAATAAAAGGCAGGGGTAGAGGTAGAGGCAGAGGCAGGGGCAGAGGCAGGGGTAGAGGCAGAGGCAGAGGCAGGGGCAGAGGCAGGGGCAGAGGATTAATGGATACTGAAGATGTAGCAAAGTCAATGAAACCAATATTTGATGTGATAACGGAAGAAGAAAACTCGGGTGATAATAAACCTACAACCCAAGTACGTTTTACATTTTCCATTTTATATTGTTGTATCAATAAATTGTTGCTCATTTAGGAAAATGTAACTTGTGCCAAATGCGAGACAGAGATATCGAAGAAAGAGTGGAGTTCACACAATTTGCTCAAACACAATTATATGAGTTGGACGAAGGACGAGGAACCAATTGTAAGCATGATACATCGATTAAATCAATCGATATTTGAACTCGTGACTCACTGTACTAAAAACTTTTATTTACAAGGATTTTGAAAATGACATTAAATTATGGAAAAGAGTATTGACCGCTGCTATTAAAAGGAAGAAAGGTCAGTTGCCGTGTGAAAAATGTGGGAATGTAAAACGCAGCGTGAACGGTTTTATATCTCACGCGCAGTTCTGCGGAAAAACAGAGGAAGTACGTAATTCCTTCAATTGAAATTTATAGTACAACCTCTTGAGATAAATATTAAGGCAATAATATATGTGTATTAGGAACAACTAGCTTTAATGGCAACTTGCCATATTTGCGGAGCTGTTATGAAGCCAACTTCTGTGGAAATGCATGAAAGAAGTCATAGAGAGTCAAAGAAAAATGAAGGAAAAGATTCAAACACCTCCGAGTATCCAAGAGGAAAACGTAAAGCGGCAGAGAAGTAAAATCTGAATTGTAATACCACTTAGACTTGAACAAAGACGGTATTGTAATATAATATTTAAATTGTAGAGCAGTGTCAAAAATTTCAGAGTTTGCTAAACTCGTAAATGAACCACCCAAAAAGAAAGTAAAACTAGATATCTCTTTTCTGGTATGTTTCGTAATGGACATTTATAACAAGATATAATTTTAAAAATCACTGTTAACATTAATATTACAGAAACGTGTAATAAACGAACCGAAAGATGAAAAAAGTATACCGTCTATGCGAAAAAGTATGTGGAAAAAACAGCTGGCTGCTAGAGGGCAAATAAAGTGCCAGGAACTAAATTGTACATACACTTGCAACTCTTACGAAGATATGTGTAAACATTTCGCTACTTGTAACTTCGTTCCTCAAAAGGTACGCATCCACGTATCATAATGGTAGCGACGTTATTCTTTCATATACATTTCAATTTTATTACAGGCCTATCTGTGTAAAATATGTAAATTTACCTGTTCCTCTAATGAAGAAATGATAAATCATGTAACAGACCAGCATGCACCGGTAGAGGAAAATGAGAAACAGTCAGATTTCGAAGGAGAAAGTTGTAGTAGTTCCGACGAAGGTAAATTTCATTGTTGATTAGGTGTTTCATTCATTGGTGATTTCGTGTTGATTGAAACACGAAACAAAGACGCTTATGATTTCTACTTTCAGAACCGTCTCACAGGACGAAATCAACGTACAAGGAACAAACGCAGAGAATAAAGTACATAACGCCGTACATTCCTGCCGTGGAATGGAGTATGGAATTGTAAATTTTTATAATTTCCCGTGATATATATTTACACATATTTACTGGGCGTACAAATAATTACTCGTACTTTCTGTTTAGCGAAAAAAAGAATTACGAATTGTATTTGTTCGATGACTATTTTCCGAATACGTTTACGTTATTAAATAATACGTCTGTTGGTCAATATTTGCCAGAATTAGAGATTTCTATGCGAACGGAGAAAGAGAAATCTGAAGAAGCATCTGAGACAGAGACCGCATGGAAGCAATGGAAAAGATTTGAGGGTGGTTCGGATGAAGGTAACTATTTGCTATGATCTCAGAATGATCAACATATTGTATTCGACATCTTTTATAGATTCTTTCATTTTCTTTACTGGTGGTCCAGTATGGGCAATCGCTTGGTTGCCAATTCCATTACCGATGCATTCTAAAAACCCCTGTCAATACATCGCAATCAGTACTCATCCGACAATGGAAAGCGAATATACCATAGGACACTCGCACCCTGGACCCAATATGATACAAATTTGGAGTGCAGGACCTCTGACTTTCGAGTTAGTAGCAATCATTGTAGCAGCTAGAAGTATTCATTGTAATTATAAATAATCGAAAACTCTACTTTTTTCTTATCTAGAACTGACAATAAAGAGACATTTCCTGCTCTCTCGTATGCAATCGTACATAATAGTGGCACCATATGGTGCATGGAATGGTGTCCTTCCGGGTGTTATCAAGACGAAAGTCTGAATAATTACGAGAAAGATGCGCAGTCTAGTCTTAAACGAATGGGTATGCTAGCAACAGCTTGTTCAGACGGAAATGTACATATTTATTCATTGCCGTTTCCGGAGGAATTGAAATTTGAAAAGACTGTAGACAATCAGTAAGTAGCACATCATTTTCTGTTCTCGTATATTATTAATATTATTAACGTTTACTTCCACAGATGGCCTATATATAGTACCGATCCGGTGATAACTTTAACTGCAAATATATCGATATATGATAGTAATAATCAGAATTGGATGTGTACAAAGGTTTCGTGGACGAAACAGCACGGACATAAGTAAGATTATCTTACTGCTTTTTCCCCCTAGTCGTCTCGTATGAGTCTTTCTAAATAATCAAACGTTTTCAGCACTATTGCTGCAGGATTCTCAAACGGTTACATCGCGTTGTGGGATCTAACTTATAAATCTCCGTTATCAATGCAAAAGAGGCAGAACACATACTTCATAAATGCGTTCCAGCACTTTTGGGGTCATAGCAGTTCCTTAACTAGTAAGAATACCTGTCCTGTCTCTTTCTTTCGTTCATATCTACGAATTAGAATAACATATTTAACAAGCGTGTCGTTCTTTCCAGTGGTATCCTTAATTCCATATAACGGAGAAAGATTTTTAGCTTCTGCGAGCTTAGATAGAACATATAAATTTTGGGATTTGGAAAATACGAGTTGTCCGCAAACCAGTGCACATAAGAATTTTATAGTGAACGGTGTATGGATGACACATTTGCCGTGTGCTGTTATCAGTTTTGACGACGCACTCGGGTAAGAAAGAGTATAAGGAAGATGTTATTTATCCATAGTATACTTATTAATATCGTATCGGTTTTATAGATATCAACATACGAACAGCTATTTGATTTCGTTAAGAGAATACGAATTCAAGTATTATCCCGTTTTACCAACGAATTCTCCCACATACGTAAGTAAATTTAATAAGCATTTCCGATTATTCTCAATTGAAATATTGTTCTCTTTAAAACTAGGCGGTAGATGTTTCCGATTATGCAAATGGCATTGCGCATGGTACATATGCGGGTGAAATATTAACGGTATTCGTCCATAATCTTATAAAAGACAGAGATTATATCAATATCTTAAAGAGAAGGAAATTAAGTTCCTACGTGAAAATAGTGGACTTTTTAAAAGAAAAGAAGGAAGAGACGAAGGAAGAGACGAAGGAGACAAAGGAAGAGACAAAGGAAGAGACGAAGGAGGAGACGAAGGGAGCGAAAAAGAAAAATGACAATAAGAAGGATAACAAACGTAATAAGAAAGAGTCGGACTACCAGTACTCTCCGGACAAATACAACGAATGCCATGATCGATACGGTCTTATTTTCTGCGACGATTTAAAATCGTTTCGAATAAACAAGCATAAGAAATCGATATTTTCGGAACACTTGAGGGAAGTGCCAGTGGAACAATATCCATTCATGTCCGTTAATAGGGTACGTACTAACAATCGCTGCTTCGCTTATTTTACGTGAAATATAATGAAATAACTTTCAGATATCCTGGAATCCAAATGCGTGGAGTTATGTATGGATGGCAGTTGGCTATCAAAATGGTTTAGTCAGATTAATAAACTTCAAATATATATCTGCAGCAGATGAAGTAAAAGAGATGCTGCCCGAATATACGAAGACAATGCTTGATAAAGCGAAAAGTTCGACGACGCAACGCTGATTATAAATTGTAATTTATAATATAATGTGATGAGGCGAACATGGTAAATGTAATGTATTTTTTCTAATTTTATACATGTTAGGTTCACTTTACCGATGCCAATGATTAAATAAGACTACATGTAACTTATTCAGAACATATTTCAATGTCATTTGAATTGAATGTTTATGAGTGTTAGAAAATTCGAAGTGAGAAATACTTTTCAACAGCATAGATGTTTCCTTGGAAGAAAGAAAATTAATGACATTATGAATGTTAATAAATGAAATCTAATACTAACCGGCATCATTTATTTCCCTCCCTATTACCATGTTCTACATATTGTTATGCAAAACTGGTTCTATGACAAAGTGAGTTATAGTTGATGCATATGTGAATCAAATAGGGCTTGTGATAGGCACGCCTGAATGAATACACCTTAATAAAACGTAGTGGGGGATCGCGTACATATACAATGAAATGACGAAAAGTATCCTGGCCTGGACTAACTCACTGGCACTGGCAGTTGTTTCATTTGTCTTCACTGGCTCGGTCAGTTTGGACCAGAATCGGGTAACTCGCGGCTAGTCGTAAAACCAGCTCTTAATATTCGAGACGAAAGCAATATCGCTTCTCGTTTATCTCGTTAACGGAAGTTAGAACGATATCGAGTAGAAGTTTCGTTGTATGATTTCCTAACAAGAGAAACTGCTTTTGTTTCAATTATTTGATACGATAAGTAAGTTCTCTTCTTCGATGTGTAACGTGAGATATTAAATCGCGAGACGTGTGTGATTTTCAAGTCTACCTGGTTTTCGTAGAATTAACATTCAAATCTTTGTTGAAGACATGGGTATCAATCCGATGAAGTGGAAAACTAGAAACGTACTATATACTATGTTAACGCTGTTAATCTTTTACGTATTATTTCTATACAAGAGGAAACAACACGTGCTGTTCGAAGATATAATAAAGGACTCGAATCCTATACACGTATGGGAATTTATGGCGGATTTTAGTAACATGAAAAAGTTAAATCCGACGATGTACGTGAAGTATTAAATGACCGCTTGTTAAACTTTTTCCGCGCGATTTTCATTCTGAGTCGTTGTTCGCAGAGAAGAGTTTAACATCATTTCAGAAAGTGGTAATTACGATCATTGGAAATATTCGGTTGAATACACGGAACATTTGAGTCACATACCGATCATTCGAAACACAGCGATAGGAAACTATGCCGTACATCGAGATAAAAATGGATATTTGATTACCTCGAAACATCTGACTTGCTTCTTTCCCAAGATCGGTTGTCGTGAGTGCCTCATCTTATTCCAATCGAATTTGAAATTAAACATTGTCACTCGCACGACACAACATTCAAATGAACTTTATCTGAAATTCTGATTTCCGACTCTCTCTGGTTTCAGTGGAATCGATCTCGCAATTCAGATTCGATCGAGACGGAATCGAAGATACTAAATATATCGAAACTGTCCAATACGAGTGTCCTATCGCATTCTCGCCTTTATGCTACCGAGAAGTTATGTATCAACGAGAAGAAATTGCGAAGAGATTAAAAAAACGCTTCTCGAGTAAAAATGATAAATAAACGTCTACTTGAACCGATTACTCGAAACATATTTGTTCATGCTTTTATATTGCAGAAATAATTGAATAAACTTCGATATATCTATAAATCCACAACATTTCATGTAACGCGCTATTTCTAATATAATTGTTTCGTTAATTTACGTTTAGTATGACCAACATTGGGGTTTAAAATCTCTGGTAAACTAGCAAAAATGATCGTAGAGGGGGAGATCTAGGAGATCAACAATTTATCGAAACATACACACGAGAGACCGTGTGATAAGGAAACAGCTATCGAGAAGCCTTTATATTTTTATTTGTATTGTTGAGATATATTGTTTGTAGCATTTAATCGATAGTCTCTGTAAATTGATAACAGAACTTGAATCATGTCCAATAAATTCGAAACGTAAGTGAAATCTGTGTTCTTATGTCGACCCTTCATTATGGTTTACGTAGGGTTAGATGTGTTTTAAATAGACAACAAATCTCACTGACATATTGTCTTAATTAACGGTGAACACGTGCTCCTTTAATTTATGCGATTATTTCCATTAGCAACTCCATTCCCAAGTAGTTCGAAACAACAAAACATCCGTGAATGATCCGACACTTGTCAGAAACTAAATAAGTACTGTGACTTTTCGATTGTTGTTATTACCCTTCTTTAAAATTCGAATGATAATCAAATTGAAGTTTTTGTACACAGTAATTCCACGTTTCATGATGCTTATGTTATAAATGATAGTAGTACTTGCAGGCTAAAAGCTAGTGAAGACAGCGGGGATGATGAAACACAGTCGAAAAATAATCAAAAAACTGAGAAAGATTCACTAGTAAGAATGACCTGCCTCCTTTTTACTTCGTTAATACCTTCCGATTAAATGGCACATTTTTATTTATTGTAGCCTCCGATAGAAATTAGTCCGAACGAGCACAAATTGCAGTATGCATATGCGTTATGGTACAGCAGGCGCAATCCTGGTAAACAACCAAATATACAAAGTTATGACCAGAATTTAAAACTGGTCGGTAGGTTTGCGAGTGTCGAACAGTTTTGGAGTCTTTATAGTCATTTAGTCCGGCCATCGGAGTTATCGACACCTACAGACTTCCATCTTTTCAAAGTTGGCATAAAACCAATGTGGGAAGTGTGTATCTTGTTATCCCCATCTTAATCAAACTTTCCTTGTTAACTGACGCACTATTCTATTGTTCCAGGATGAAGCGAATCAGAAGGGTGGCAAATGGATAGTGAGATTAAGGAAAGGTTTAGTTTCCAGATGTTGGGAAAACCTTATATTAGCTATGTTAGGAGAACAATTTATGGTCGGCGAAGAAATATGTGGAGCTGTTGTATCTATAAGGTTTCAAGTAAGATCATTTTCATTGCCTAACAGGAACGGTTCACGTGTGCCAAATCATTGGGTATTGTTGATCTCAACAGGAAGATATAATATGCGTGTGGAACAAGACTGCATCTGACTATGCGACGACAGTACGCATTAGGGATACGTTAAGGAGAGTATTACACCTTCCAGCCAGTGCCTCTATGGAATACAAAACTCACAATGAAAGTTTGAAGAATGTTCATCGATTGTAACAATCTGACGAAATGATCACGACGTGACGGATTTCAGGTAAATTCAACTATTTTCGAGACTCCATCTCCGTGATGCAATATGTGTGCTTTTCAATTCTACATTTAGCCAATTGATACTTGTGAGATGATACTTAGGAGAAAAATATTTGAATAGCCATCTTATCGGATAATGCATTCTGTTCGCAAGTGTTCCAATGTAACTTATGTAAATAAAATACATGTTGATAATAAAAGAATCATCTGATTTCTAAATTATACGAAATTTTTATAGTTATTTTTCAACATAGTAAAATCTTTAATGATAGAAATAAGCAAGCTTGTTGTATGTCAAATACTTTTATTCAAGAGTACTTAAGATTTGAAGTCCATTTTACATAAGATATATTTATACATTTTTACACGAGATCGTATTCTTTTCAATGTGAATTATATAAAAAGACAGTAATTTTGTTAAACGTCTTAATATACTATGTACAAACTTTTATGCATACTTAAGGCAATGAAGCATATGCATATGTAGCGTCATATACATAAAAAGAATAAAAGATTTCATATAAGTTAATAAATATCAGTAGTTTCCATGATGTGTCCTATCGTTTTTATTTGTATATAGACTAGAACCAGATATATCCAGTAACAAAAAGAATGGCCAAACGAATTCTATAAATGATTGTGCTCAAGTCCCAAGATTCGAATCCTTGTATAAAGTATTTTTATAGCCAAAAATTACAGCCTTAAAATAATAATTGTAACCATACCTGTAATAAATCGGAAAACATTCGATTGATACACCGAAACGGAACGTAGTCGATTGAGTAACTCACCTAATACGAATGAAAATATTAATTTAAGGTTTATAGATAAATAGAGGTAGTCAGGCACTCTATTATTCCGTTCTCCTTCGGTAGGTAAAAGTAACCCAATTATACAAATGATTCCAGCAATCAATGCTATATAATTCGTTCCTCCTAAAAATCATTTATTTCATTCATTACTTTAAGAGCTTGATTATCACTTTACTTTTATACTTGATAAACATTTGTGACAGTTCACTTAGAATTTATATAAAGAACAATTAAACTACAGAAAAATTCTTATCATATAAATTACAATTGAATGGCACTAATAAAAGGAAAAGCTAATTTTAAATACTAACTTATTAACCTTTATCCATAGAACATTTCATATCTGAGGATAGGTACATTTTTGCATTCTTATTTCCACCAAATAAATCATATTTTAACTTTACTGATTTTCGCGTGTACTCTGCAATTGTAAACGATTTTGCCATTCAGGTAAACCTATCATACTTCAACGAGAGATCTTTGCTAACGTTCTAATTTCCAAATAATGGTGAGAACTTACTATCCATTGCTTTATTTTGAGCTATGAGAGCATAAGATTGTTGCTGCCTACTTTCATTTATTGGAAGCTGCTGAAACATTTCAGGGTCTGGAGTAGATCTTCCAGTTGCCTCTGTTGTCCCAGCAAGTAACTTAGCTTCCACATCTCTCTTTCCTATGGCCTATTAATGTTTTTACAAATTATTTTTACTTCGATCAGACTATTTTAATGCTAGCTTTTAATGCATGTTCAATTACTTGTTTAGTCGGATGCTCTTGCATTTGTATTCTAAATTTATCAACGACATTACAGTTACTTGGTAAGGGAGATTTATGCCTGACAACAATATCTACACAGCATCTGGCTTTTATTGTTCCTTCCGGATCGACAACTTTATACTTATTTGGCGCAGTACACAGTACTATAAAATTAATTGATCGTATTAACACTTTTGCAACCTTAGATTCTGCACTCTTCACATTACAATGTATTACCTCTGAATCTTATTGGGAAATCGTATGGGTTATACAATGTTAGAACTTGTTTGTGAGTGGACTGATCGTCTAAAAAGAAAGTGATGCTTTGAGGAAATACAAAGACTGGTAGTTTTCGGGGAGTTCCTGCTAACTGGGACTGCATGATATTCGCTTAATTTTGCGTGGTCCATCCACCTATAAAATTATTACACACGTCTATTATTATTATTTTCTTCTTCAAATCCCTCAGTTTCGTATAATACGCTCTATTCTCTCAAACTCTACTTGATTCTTTGTTTGCATATCGTAACATCTGTCGCGATTAAAATCTTTAAAAACAATGACTTACCTAAAGAATATTAAGCACTTTGTGAATTATAAAAATTAAGCTAAATAATTGTGCGCTAACAGGTTTTAGGCGAACGAATATGTTAATGTTTCTTTGAACTATATTTTAGATTAGTATAACCACTCAAAGTTTTAGAATAATTTAAAAAACGGCTAATCATTCTCTCGGAGCAGCTCGAGTGATTTAAACAGTGACTATAGGAGATTAATTAATTAGATAGTTTAATATTTACAAATTCGTTAGCGTCACAGAACACTTTGATTATTAAATACTGTTGATCTTTCTAGTGAGAAATAGAAAACACACTTCTTTCCCTGCTCTTCGTACATACATATCTACATCTACATCACTTCTCGTTTGCCAACATTCGCTATTGTGCGTGTGAACGAGCTAATCATATTATTTCCTCGTGTTTCCCTAGCTTATCATCGCGAATCAGCTGATTATTTTACGTTTCGAACTGACAAATTTAAATGGTATCATTTTACAATTCACACACTCACATATAGACACACGCGCGGACGTATCGCTGTGCGTTATTGTTTCTAATCAGTCGGTTCAACGATGAAGAAATTTAATACCTAAGGGTCTTCGCACGTTCGTCGATTAACGACATTTCGAAAATGACACGTAGCATCTGAGACTCAGTTTTACTTCTGCTTGTAACAAAGAATTTAATCTGAGTATCTATTTAACAACATGAGTAACTTTCGTGATAACGAGCGCGATTAGTATTAGGGACAAAATACATGTGCACAAGCGTCGTTGGTAATCACAATACTTGGATGGATTCAACAATATGGCACCAGACCGGATGCAACCGGATGATCTGCCTCATGAGTAATAGTACGATTATGTCGATCGAACGCTGTTGATATTATCGTTTTTGATATAACAAGTTTCCGCGAACGAAAAAAGATAAAAATGATAGGATCATTGCCTATATTTTGATTACTAGATAGTGTACGAAGTAAACGTAGCAGTTACGCATTCGAACCATATTACGGAATTCTTTATCTTTCGATTACTCCAGAGACTCTTTATTTATTAACCTAACGGTAAAAAGCTTGTCTTCGATTATTGTGCTAATTTGAATTACTTCAGAATTCTGGTTTGTACGTCTATGAAATAATGTGATTTTAATTCTTATATCCTTAGAGACTTGTAGGAACTTCGAAGAGAAAGTACGATGGTTAACATTAATCCCAGAGTGTTCTTCGATATAGAAGTGGGCGGTCTTCCCATGGGCCGCATGATTTTCGAGCTTTATGCAGATCTTTGTCCGATAACATGTGAAAACTTTCGTGCCCTGTGTACGGGGGAGAAGGGGCTTGGAAAAACGACTGGCAAACCGTTACATTATAAAGGAATTGTTTTCCATAGAGTAGTTAAAGATTTTATGATCCAGGGTGGTGATTTTTCAGTAGGCAATGGAACAGGAGGAGAATCAATTTATGGAGGAACGTTTGCAGGTAAATCTACAAGTGTACTCGATGCATTATATTAAATAATAATCCTAATAATATTTTACAGACGAAGATTTCATTGTGAAACATAACAAGCCATTTTTATTGTCAATGGCAAATCGTGGTAGAGACACGAATGGTTCACAATTTTTTATGTGAGTATTTGTAGAAGAAGCAACTGTTTAAGTTCTAATAAAGTTGTGTAACCAATTCAAACAGTTAATTAGATCTATGATAGAGAAACGAGTGCAGGATGGTGTGGTATATTTTCTATATCGTAGTCTCGAAGATACGTTAATGTATTTTATTTCTTCACTAAGAATTTGTGTTGCATGCTATTATTAACAAAAATGATCGGCTTGCGAGATATTAATAGAGCTGCAAGAGAACATTTTCTTTTTTAACATCTCGAGTAGCTAAAACGTTATTTTTCTCTGCTGGCAGATGTATACTTTGTCGACTTCGAAGGTAAAGGTAATAGGAGTTTCATACACATTTATTTTTACATTTTAATACCCGTTTAACCGATATTCAAATATCTCTTGATAGAAAGTATATTCATTAGAGAAATTATCAAAGGGCTAACTTGGATTTCGATAATAAGATTTATCTCCTTTTCATTCTCTATGTTCACTGTGACATTAAAGCAGTTGTTCGATGTTTATTAATTTATGTCGATCAAATAAAACTTCTGGTGAAATACTGGAAAGTATAGAAGTAAGGATATCTCTGAAGGAATGAATAACTTAGCTATATTTCTGTGTAGTCGTGAGGGAAGGGTCTGCACACCACTACTACAACACAATGACCACTGAAAGCTGGCTCTTTCTGTTCATCTCTCATCCCCTTAATCATATTTTGTTGTTGTAGTACAACACAACCAGCGCCTCACCTCGACAAGTAAGTGATCACGAATGAATCAATCGTTAGAAAATTTATCGATCGTAACTTATATTCGAATGTTGAATTTTACAGTGTCCATGTGGTTTTTGGAGAAGTAGTATCTGGCCAGGAAGTTGTAAGGCATATTGAGGGACTTCCAGTAGACCGTATGTCTCGCCCGTTACAAGATGCGAAGGTTGTAAATTGTGGAGAACTGGTATTGAAAGTCAAGAGTAAAAGTATGTCTCTCTTTTAGAAATTGTTATGCCACGATCACGATACACCAGACTATTTAAACCTTACTATTTTTCTGCTCACAGCAAAGAAACATGAAGCGAAGGAGGATAGCAGTTCGTCGGAATCGGATTCTGATTCGTACACAGAAAAACCGAAGAAGAAAAAGAAGGCTAAAAAGAAGTATATGTTACGCGAACTAATTACAGCCTACATCTATTTACGATATATTCTATTGCAGTAAGAAAAGAGCAAAATCCGAGGATGGCGAGATTCATGATTCTAACGAGGACGATCTTGGAAAACCGCATCCCCTTGTATCGGTGACAAAAATTGACCCAGATGAAATTCCTGAAGTGCCTGCTAATAAGTTTCTGTACAGAGCAGGGCCTACTAATAATGCGAATCAAAAAGAATTTAGGCAACACTATGGTCGAGATCGGGTACGGTCGCATAGAAAAACTGGTCGCATGTTTAAAGGAAGAGGAATATTTGTAAGTATTCTTGTGTACAATGCGTAACATATGGTATGTATGAAATCTTCAAGATATCGTCTTCCATTGTAAAAAATTTCGTATTTTCCCGGGGCATTGTATTGTTAGTTACTTCAGGTACGAATTAATAAATCTGTTTACAGCGGTACCATACCCCTTCGCGTAGCCGTTCAAGAAGCGTTACGCCACCGCATTGGAAACAGGCTCAAAACCGGACTATCAAATTGCACGAGTTCCAAGTACGTATTTATATTTAATTACAGGTAGTCCAGTTAATTGATCGCATGTTTTAATTCGTATGTGCAGAAGATGGAGAAGGAACGTTTAAAGAAGGAGGAAGAATTGAAGAAACGCGAGGCCGATAGAATTAAAAAGTTTACTGAAATTCCGGATGAAGATAATCCTGCGATGGACAAGTTTGACGAAACCGAAGCGCAAGTCGCAGAAGAATTGGAGAACAAGGAGAACGATCACACGGACGATAAAAAGAGTGGCAATAAAGACATTGATCAAGACCAAGACAATTTGAATATTAGTTCGGACGTTAATGATCCTTTGGCAAAGGACAAGCTGGATGGGAAGCATAAAAATGACAAGTTAATGAAGCGCGAGTTACATCGATCGTACGGTGATAAATCCGCGCGACGTGACTCGCGGGACAGAAGCCGAAGGCGTGGAAGTGGTCGATCGAGGTCGCGTGAACGACGAAGATCTCGGGACAGGGAATACGATCGCAGGAGCAGTCGTGAGAGAAGAACCAGAAGGAATTATTATCCGCGGAGACGGGATGCTTATAGAATGAACAGACCCGGCAGAGATAACTATAGACATTACGATAGACGCAACGACTATAGAAGGGCTAATAACTCGAACTCAAATTACGAGACAGACAAAAATCGCAAGAAAAGTGATAACACCTCGGACTCTAACAATCAACCGAAATTCAAACGTCGATCACGTTCAACTAGTTCTAGTAGTCAACACTCCAAAGACTAAATGCAATGTTTCCACTTACAATTTTTCTCTACATAATAATACAACAAGTGAATTATAATTTATGTAGTAGCTACATTTATTTCTCATTTTTTTTTGTTTAATTAGTTTGTCCGTAGAATGTATAAATTTATATATATATATATATGTGTGTGTAGATTAATGCTTTACATTTGTATGAATCTGAGGTATATCAATTACAACGTTTAACTGTAAATTTCATATTTAGAAGGTCAAGACTTGTCTCTTATGCCTATCATTTTTGTATTTATATGAAATGAATATACCACTATGTTGCATCATGTGTAATCGTTTGAATATTCAATTATCAAGGAAAACACCGAAACATTTAATTGTAAATCTATCTAATTACATTTGTAGCATCATATTGTAAATTAAAAAATACTTTTATAGCCAGTGATTCATACTTATTTACGAGTTTACCACTCCATTTAGAAGTGTTAGATACCCACATGAGAAAATACAAATGTACGAAGGGGAACAAGTTTCATTTCATGTAGGACTATTCGTGTACGAATATCAAACTTATCTCGATGAATTATATAATTATTCCGCGTAATTAAACCTTCGTACCTTTATTTTGCCGAAGTAGAATGTTCCGGGCATCTTGTCTGAGTCGCCAAATCTCCGAATCCTTTCCCAGTTCTCCGAGCTCACTGACCCTCTTTTGAACTCCGATGTGGTATCCGAATCACTAGCACATCGTGATTCGATTAAATACATGAAACTTAATTTATGACACTACTGATCTGAATAATTATGAGCAAAATTCGAACGCGGAACTGCGCGGGATCGCGTAATTAAAAACTGAAGCACGACTGCACGGGCACCAGTTCAAACTTTACTTAGTTCGTTATGGCCGCTAGGTGGCTACGGCAGCGGCACTGTAAGTTTTCGAACTTCAAAATTGAACTAACAATAGTAATAATTATTTAAATAAAAAGGATTCAGTTATTTCTTAGGATTGCATGTTCGAACGAGCGTGCTTCGAGATCTGATAAGTAAGCTGAGAAAAATAAGAATAGATTCCATACTATAGAATCATATTAAATATCGTGCAAACGAAAAAGTGTCGAACTGCAAATTCTTTAATTATATGAATATTTCGTAGTTTCTGTTTCGTATAGTAATAATAATGTAATATTTCGTGCAAGGTCAGATTCATTTCAAGAGATTTCAATTTTATTCATTCAGTTCTGCGAAAGTTGACTAACTTCGTTTTGGTTATGTCCCGATTCTATTTTGTTTAGCGGTTCATATTTTATTGGTTGTTCGCGTATAAAAAAATGTCTTGTGAATTTATGTCAACGCGTGTGTTCCGTGGCCCCATATGGCACGAAACTTTTTTTTCTGATACAAGTCACCCTCTGTATTTTAACCCCTTTGAAAGGGGTACCAGTCACCCCTTTCAAATCCCAAAAAAGGGTAGCTGCTAAAAAAAGGGTAGCTGCTAATAAAGGGTGTTGCAGCTGGAAAGATATTGTCCACATTTTTTTTATAGTTTTATATTTATTTCAATCATTCCTATTACAATTAATTTTATTGTGATCCACAAATAAGGATAAACAAAAAGGTGAGAATATATTCTTGAAACAAAATAAAAGTTTGGAAGAGAAATTTTGATACCAACTTAGCATGTGTACTATTGATTGGTCATTTCTTTCTCTTTTCAGCAGTCAAAGTTCAAAGGATGCGTCCCCTTGGCCTTAGGGTTTAGAATATTGTAACGGAGCATGCTCGATACCCAGAGCTCCAGTCCAGACCCTGGACCCTTTCCCCAGCTGTGGATGCCAGATACGATCCCTTCCCTTCTTTCCATTCGGCATTGGTGATAGGGCACACCCCTTTAGTTCGTGTTTTAGAATATGCCAATGGGGCATGCTCCGTCTAAAAAACCCTTGTCAGTCTACACTGTGAACCTAGTCTACCCTTTCTGACTTGTGCTAGAGGATCTACACCCAGGGATTGGTTCAGAGGTCCGTACAGTTGGGGATATCCAGGGCTATATTGGGTATGACAGAGCAGCCGTTCTCCATAGCAAGCGTAGGAGTCAGGATCAGTTCAGCAGAAGCTACCACAGAGTACAGACTGAGGTGTGTTCCTTCCCCAAGTAGTGACACAAGTGTTATTCAAATTAAACTGATTTACAGTGGTTTCTAAGAGAAATATATCATACAAGAGCACTGAAATCTAGTTTGTAGAAGATTTAAGTGTTATTTTAACTTGTTCAGAGCAGTGTTTCTCTGAGCTATGTGAAGGAAACCAGTTCAGTTTGATCTAGAATTAAAATTCCAGTTCAGATATTTCATTAGAAGCATTTTTCTCTATTTATTTCTGATACATTCTCCCCAATTATTTCTAAGATGTCAAGTGTCTGACTCATTGAAACTAAATATATTTATCTCTTAGAAACTGCATGTACTTAAGAAAGACTAGTTCAATTTGAAAGAAACGAATTTAGAAATGAAATATTAGCTCAGAAGCTCCATTATATACATTTTTACTTTCTTTTTGTATCTTTTTTCTATATTATGTGTGAGATAGTGTACTGAAAAGTGGATACTCAAAAAGAAGTAATAATGTGTAGCACAGAATTAAATAAAAGTGATTAAATCTCATGCTCCAATTGTTATTCAAGAATTAATCAATGAGAAGAAGATTAGAAATGGAACACGTCCACGCAGAGGTAAGCGCATTTATATTTAAGTGAGAAATAATTTTAGCTTGGTAGATTCATCATTTTCCTTCAGCACTGCACGTGAAAAAAGTGATTTTGTTTAAAAATTGTTATAACAAAAATATGGATTCGTTGCAATTTAGTGAAGCCTCGCCAGAGGTCAGCACCATCAACTAATCGTCAACTTTTCAATATATATGTCTTCTTTATTTAATAAAAATCTTTTTTTTTATTCTCTATAGTATCAATTTATATCTTAATTGAATCAATAGTATCAATTTCAATGTATATCGAGAAACGGCAGGAGCGTCAATCCTTTAAGATTACGAACTTCGTTTTCGAGAAACGTAAGAAATTAGAAAGGATAGATAATTGTGAACAATTAAAAATCGACTAATATAAGTAAAATTGTCATACTTAAGTTCCTCTTTGAATCGATGCTTCCTCCGATCAAAGGAATCGTGCGAGTTAAAAAAAAAAACTTACATTCGAAGGGCGAGGACTACCCCGAAAAGATACGTTCCACCCTCGCTGTGTAAATCCACGCGATATCGTCTACATTTTTTTCTCTCTCTCGTCCGTTTCCCGATCGAATTGCGCGCTCAGCAAAGCCGTGTTTGCATTCGTCTCTCCGGGGAGAGAGGCTCGCCGAGGGATGGGCCGTGCGCAATTTCGAAAAGCCGATTTCAATTCCGTTTCCTTTTACACGGAGAAAGAAATCTCGAGTGCGGCCTTCTCCGAGGGGAGAACGGCCACCCGGGATTACCGGAATCGCGTGGACGGGGCTGGAAACACGTGCGAAAATCCCAAATCCTGACGTCTCTGCCCTTTACATCGATCGTCCCTCACCTCCTTCTTGCTTTTGTTATAAAAAATGAAAAAACTTCGTGTTTCTCCTCGTTCATCTTTAGAAAACCACTGGAGTACAAAAACTGTATGAAATCTGATTGTCTGTACGATACTAGTTCGTTCGACGAGGGAATGCATTTTATAAAAATGATAGAACGTTGAAACGAGCTGATTTCAGTAAGATGGATTTTTCCAGAGGATTCTCGTGTTTCATTCGGGAATAATGTCAGGACGGTGTATAACGATGAGCTTCGTTTCCGGTTCCGGTCTTCATGATTTTCGCATCGTCAACTCCATTCTTCCACACGCTCGCTACCCCCGAGCCCTTTTTCTTTTTCTATCTGGGTTGCCTTTTGTGTCTATCCAGAATCCCAAAAACTCCTCGACCCTCCTCGTATTATTATCTTATCTCGTACTCTTTCGTTTTCTTATTAGTGAAATTATATCATCCATTCTTCACCGAGATTCGAAAAAGAGAATCGTTTATTTTGGCAACGTCCGGAATACTTTTTAGCTGTCGTTTCACTCCCAACGCGACGCATAAACACATTTTTATATGACACAGCAGTTGATGTATCTTCCCGTTCCGGGAGCAGTACAGGAAGGAATAACGCCCTTTGTCATGTACGATGGCACGCTCGTTGATATTCCGCTGGCAACTCCATCCTTCTGGGACACCCTCGCCACCCCCTTTTCTTCCTCGGTTGCCAGAGCGTTATACGTGGCGGCGAAAGAAGGTGTGAGAACATACTGATTCGTGATCATTTCTTACTATAAAACCTGTCCAGTATCTCAACGATTCTCGTTTTAATCAGAAATTGTAATTGTCGATATCGTTCGATATAAAATGTAGGTATATAAAAGCAACGTTTGTAACCAGCGAGCATTAATTTCCCACGAGTCGTTAAATTATTATTAAAGAATGCTTTTAGCAGCGGTGATATCACGTTCGTCGGTAGGAGTTTCGGTTATCGATACGACCGTGTGATTCGCGTTCTAAGGACTGTCCTTAAACGCGTGTCGTAAACCAAGAGAGAAGCTCGTATACGTAGACAGTGACTGGTGGGAGGACGGAACGAAGGAGAATCGGCGCGGCCCGTCGTGTGCTTCTACTTTGTAAGGGTGCCTCGTGCTTCGCGGGGCCCAGTCCGGGACCTATAAAAACTTTACAGCTTCGTAATGAATGCAAGAAATAATTATCTCATGAATACATTAGTTTTAGTATCCCCCGACACGGACGCGGACCGTAAAATCGTCCGAGCATTCGACGTTATCCTGACCGACGCCGATTTCCAGTGCGTGGTTGCTCGCTTAAGATCCTTGATCGTTCGCCTTTTTCTACCCTCCGACGTTCCTCTCCCTCTCGCGAGCCATTAGCACCACCTCGATGAAAACGCGAGCCACCGGGTGTCTTTCATTTGGGAACAGGGATCGCCGTCATTTCTAAGTTCTCAAAAATAGTTTTCTTTTCGAAGTACGCTCAACGCTGTATATTCAACGTTATACGTAGCGCGGGGAGCTTTCGCGACGATCAATCTTCTGCGAAATCCAGCGTATTGCAATGAACCTCCGAGGACGAGGGAAAAAGGAAAAAAGGAAACGCGAGAGGTCATCGAAGTAGCGTTAAACAACCATCTCTAACGATGTGGATAGACCAGGGGTGGTGGTGAGGCCGGGGGTGTGTTTGTGGAAGAGGTGGGATGTTCGTTGGGCCATATCAGAGGAGATACCCTTTATGTGAATAGCGGCACGAGGGAGGGCGGGGAGGACGTTAGCCAGCGTTAGGAAAAGGGTGCATCGGTGGACGGTGGCACGGAGTGATTGATCGTCGTCTCGCGACACCCCCATGTTCTCGTAGAGTGGATAAAGGGGTGGAAAAAGGAGTGGAAACCCTTTCACGCTTTCACGGATCAGTCACGGGATCACGTTCCCGACCCCGCGCTCTCTCCCCGTTCGCCACCCCCTGGTACACGGGACATGCATCACCCTGCCATCCGCCCCTTCCCTCTTCTCGAGCCGCGAGATCGAATCTGCAAAGTTAGCGCAGTTCGAAAGGAGATATGACGCAGGGGTAATGGAAAATTCGATGATGACGAAAACGCGCCGCTTAAAACTCTCGTAGAATCGTGTATGAGTAAATCGAACGATTCAGATTCCAGTTTGATCGATCTTTTTATTCGTAGCCCGAGTACGTTCTTTAATTAAGGGTGTATTGGCTATACAGTCAATCCCAAAAGTTTATGTACCTTAGAAAAACGCATTTCCTATAATTAAAAATAGTGCATTCTTCTTCTAATTTCGATATTTAATGAGTTACATATGATTCTAAAGAGCATAAACTTTTGGGATTGACTGTATAGCCAATACATCCTTAAATTTGATCTCCTTTGTTTCATCTGGAACGTTTCTTGTAATAGAAGTCTTGAAAAGAAGCAGAGAATTTCCAACTGACCGGCGCCCCGGCGGTAATTACAGAAAAATTCAGGCTTCACCAGGCTGGCCGTGGCCAAGATTAATCGTGTTTTCGAAACCGATGCGAGGAAAATGTCTCTTTCATTTACGGCCGGGCTAGCCGGAAGAACCAGACCGGATGACGGCGTCTCATACATCAGACATCTAATTCTTTCCTTCGCTGCTGTGTTAACTCTTACATCTTATCCATTTAGAAGTTCCATTTGGCCCGCTCCTTTCAGCCCCGCCCCGCCGCCGTAGGCTTGTCACTCGCTAACTGACGAGCGATAATACGACCCGTCATTGATATCCTCACCTTTTCGTGAACTTACATCAATCTAACTATACCGATAGGAACAGAGAAACGTCGTCCAAGTTGGGAAACTTCGAATTTTTATTGACGCGTCACTTATTTCTTTCGTATACAACTACGTTTGTACTGTTTCTTATGTACATGAGTCTTGCGTTTAATTTCCTTGCGAAGGAATGGCTGAACGACGAATCGAAGAACAGATGCGGGGGCGTGTAAGGCGAAATTGGATATTGCTGTTAAATATTTGAAAGAAGCCCGATCCGTAGAATTTCGTTGATATCCCGCGGGAATACCGCGTCTCGCAACTTTCCTGGACTTTCTTTCCCTTCGATTTTGAGCCGACCAATTAGTAGGAGAGCTTTTTTCGACGAGACTGAAACGAAATACGTTGCTTCCTAAAACTTCTCGTGAGGAACTATTATGTCGGCGTTAGAAATTTTCTCTTATCGTTGGCCTATGAAAATTCTAAGCATGAGCATAGAGCAGGAGGATGAGTACATAGGACTGGGTCGAAGGGGATTTTAAAATTGAAGGTCTCGCAAGATAGAGGACGTCAGTTCTCTGGTACGATCTTCAGCCTCCGATCGGGAGAATGTGTTTTTTCCGCGCCCTCAAACACGTCACATGAATAAAAAATATCCTTCAAAGTTGCCAACCCCAGCGTCTGGACGAGTGAGCCAAAACCCCTTGGTCCGATCGGAGGAAATACGTGAAGCCCTGAATACCCCGGGACGTTCGAAGTCGGAAGAGGGTCGTACGTTATCGCCCACCCCAGGTATCCTAATTTCTTTATTACGAATCCTTCGGTTGTGAAATTTCACGCAAAACATTTCCCGTTCGTCCATGAAACTTCGTCATTGTGAAATCGTCTTTGAATTCGTCGGAGATTTTTACGTACAGGCGATTAAACAAGTTTTCAAATGCGAGAACGCACATTTTCAATTCCATTAGTCTAGATTCCGAGTGTCTCTGCTAGCTTCGCATGCGACGTTTTCTGGTTGAGAGCTGCTGGTCGTATGTAATACGACGATAAGATATCCCCCATGTTTCCATGTGTCACGAGCCTCTATCGAGGATTATGTTGCCATCCAGGATGGCGCACCCCCCCGAACGAAAACATCGCGACGAACTTCCCCGACCAGGCGGAATCCCTTAACCTTTTGCACTTTCATGCCCGCCGTTGCTCTCGCTACTTCCTCGAAAGGTCGAATTTTTCTTTTTCCCCGACGAATACGTCCAAACTTAAAATTGCCCGTAATGGATAATTCAGTTGGCGAACTTTCACGGACTAGATTTCCATTAAAGAGGACGACTCGTGATGGAGAACTCGAAAACACGCGTCGTATACGAGTTGATTCGAGATGGGCGAACGACACCCTTATGATTTTTTAACGCTTTCACGGCCCGTATGGCGCGAAGCTAGTCTCCCTGTTATTTTTTAGGGGTGACTCGAGCACTTTTTTTTATGAATCCACCAGGAATATTCCTCGCTCGAGCATCACCGGCTATTTCGATAATAGAACATCCATCGTGTACCACGTGAACAGAAATAAGTTTAGTGTAATTTCTACGACGAGGCAATGAAATCAATTATGAAAGAATGTCTTATTTTTTTCAAAATACGGTCCACGCCTATGTATTACTTTACTCTTTATTATAGTTCGTTCGTATTCGTGTGTCGTAAGCCGCGATACGTTTTCCCTATTTTTTCTTCTCCTTCAGCGAGAGTATCCGTATTTTTCTCTTTCTCAGGGAATAGTCAGCATTCCGAAATGGCCCGTGCCAAGCGTGTCAGCCTAATGTATGTCCCGCATCGCGAGGGGTGCGTTTGATTCATTTCGCCGAGGGGGTTGCTCGTCAGGCCGCATTCGCCACGCGTTTCAAGAGCTCTCCTTTCTCCCAGCTCGCGAAAATCCATCCCGAAAGACTTTACACGGGCGTCATAAGCCGGTGCACTTAATTTAAAGATCATCGACCGGCGAAAAGTCGCAGGGAAGGGCGGGCACCCCCAGGCTTTCTTTTCGTTCGTTTTCCAATTTTTTACTTCCTCACGAGTTCATGGATTTCTGCGGGGACGAGCTTTACAGTCTGTGCATTCCGCTTCACAGTTCATTTCACTCTTCCTACCACTGGCTGCTCCGTTTCTCCACCCTCGTTTCCTTTCCGCCTCCTTGGGGGAAACTCCTTTAATTTTTATTCTTCGCTTCTCTCGATCGGATTGCACATATGCTTGCTGCCTTTAAATCGATCTCTCGCTCATCGATCAAACGTAAGAAACGGGTAAATGCAAAGATCGGTCATTCGAAACGCGTAATAAACATCGGAGGTTCGAAACGAAATCCTGGTCGAAGTATCCGGAGCTCCTGATTAATGCCTGAACGTCAGCGGTGCTCGAGATCGCGTCGGATCTTCGATAGATCGGCGAGTCTCGCGGCGGTTTCGGCTGTCGTCGAAGCGGACGGACTCCTCTGCGCCGAGGAAGGCAGAGAGGCAGCTACGTAGGCATGTGGCAAATTGCCGGTGCAGCCAGTTCGAAGGGAACCTTTCCATTTCTCTTTGTTTTTCGTTCGCGGAGGTGGAGAGAGGCGCCTCGAAAGAGAGGTGGAGCAAGAAAAGGAAGGACGAGCCGGTACGGGCGGAGGAAGAGGGCAGTTTGGAACGAACGACGACGCGACGCGTCGCGGATCGAGCGTTCGCTCGCTCGCGGTGCACCGGTGGGAAGAGGTGGGCCCGCGGGACGAGGTGGAAGGAAAGGCGGTGGGTAATCTGTGATTCAAAGAGAGCGATCCATCTTGCGACATGCCAGCGTTCAATCGTCGGCATTTGTTTGTGAAATCAGTCCCGAAGGACTCATCCTCGACTTTGTCTCGCCTCTGTGATCTCGTCAACCGCGGAATCCGTGAAAATCGGCAAACCTTTTGATTCGAACGAGCGATAAGGAGATATGAAATTATAATGAATATTATATTCTCCAGTTATGTGGAACGGTCGAAGATCACGACTGGGGTGACGTCACCGGGGTCTCTCGAATGCGAAGGAAGCCGATAAGGGAACGCATGATCGAAGCCAAGCAGGGCTAATCAGGCCATATATATTTATTCAGGGACGCGGGGGCAGACCCTTCGTCCGGACCAAACGAATGCAAAGAGCAGAAACGGAACGGAGGCGCAGCGTTCGGCTTAGTATTAGGAAAAACCGGAATAGATTCGTGCCTCTGATCCGTGCCAGATCCCATAAAATGACCCCAAGCTCGATCGAGTGGCGCGGGAAAAGAAACGAGAGGACGAGAGAGACGGTCCGAGACCCTACGAAATTATTGCTCTCCTTATACATTCGTCCATCGAATCGGGGCCACGAATAAACTGTACTTTTTGACTTGCCATGGGGAAATGAAAAAAGAGACCAAAAAAACGTGTAGAAGTATATAACAGGGAGAACGTCGAGTATCAGCTGGTTTCATGAGAAAAAGTCGTATGCAGTCCAGTTTTATTGAACCGTTGGACTATGCCTGAGACTGTCTAAATATTCTAATGGAATAAGGCATTACTGCGAGTTTTGGTACAATTCCGTTTTATTTGCCTGATTAACACTGATATTTAAACACGTTCCAATTCATCTCCGTCTCAGTTTATACCCCGCATTGGCAGGAGGGTCTTTTTGATCGGTCATATAATGGTAGTTGACGAATCTGTAGCCTTGCGTAAGCTGTGCAGCCGAATTGACGAAGTGGCAGGCGCAGAGCAACAGATTCCGAGGCTTCACTTTGACGGCAAATCGCATGAACACCATCGAATACAGGGCCAATGCTAGGTTCCCATTAAAACGAATTCATTCGTCGATTAATAATTTATTGTGTCATTTATTAGAATGCTCAACGATTTATTACATTCGCTGATAAATATTAAATTAGAATATCAGATAATTGAAACGATTTAAAAAGATTATTGATCTGTGACATGTCGATAGGCAAAAGACGCTCGGATGTGTGCTAGGATTCAAGTTCTAACGCGGAGCCGAGGAAGGTTCATTAAGGAATAAACGCCGATTCGCTGCGTTCAAGCGGCAATTATTTTATGAGGGCCTGTCCACCGACGTCGCCGTGGTCGTCGCGATTATTATACGTGATTATTATGAGCGGCGAAACTCGAATTCTCCGAAAGGCCGAAGCGCGGACGCGGCTCACTCACCGAAAGTCATTTTGCCGCTAATGATTCTCGGATGCTTTTGCGTGTCGGATATGGTTGCTATGGGTATCATCCAGTTGAACACCGGTCCCCAGAAGTGCGTGCTGAAGAGAAACGGAGCGAAGTAGTTCGTTTTCCATAAATTATTCCTTCACGTGATACGGAATGATTTGAGACGTGCGTGCGCGGCTCTGCGTAGCCCGGTTGATAGTACAAAAAAAAAAAGAAAAATGTAGAAGAGAGAGCACGAGGAAATTCGAGGATCCGAGATTACACGAGCGAGAGAGGATCTTTTTTTTCCCTGGGACGTTTGACGGTAATAAAGATTTTACGACGCAACTAGGACCCTCCATCGGTTCCCTTTGTCTCACGCTTTTGCCGGATATCTCGTCCGGCCGATGCAAACATTCGGACGTAGATATCGCGGAATCGGTGCTCGACCGCGACGATTACCTCATCAAATAATTTCTCAACTCCTTGTCGGCGAGCACTCCTCCTCCTTTCCCTCCTTTCGGTGGTCGTTTCGCCGCCATCCTCGCCACGAGCTGCTGTGCTTACCCGATTTTTCCCCGCGCCCGTACTTCCGCGAATTATTTCGAGCGGCATGAGGCTCTCCCGTTGGACGATAACCTTTTCAATTATTAATCTCAGAGCGGAAACATTCTCCGGTGGAATTGAACGTTGCTCGATCGTGCCCGATCGAATGTTAACTGACTGCGAATCGCTATTGCATACTTCACGTGCTACAGCACCGAGAGGATCGATCAATCGTTCGACGGACGCTTGGAAACAATTAATTCCGCGTCAACGTCGCTTTTCCGTGAGAGATTCTCCTTTGAAAACCGATCCATCATTCTCACCCCTCGACCAATCGATTTGCATAACAGTTTACACGCATAATTTATCATCCCTCGTCGGATGCATCTCTATCTTTTTTTGTTTTTTTTTTTTCTTCTAGCCAGAACCCTTGAGCAGCCACCCCACCCATAATAAATGCACAGGTTATTATTTCGCGCGTATAATATTGATGGCGCTATGAATGTTGCATGGAGGGGTGCAGGCAAGGCGTTCGGAGCGTAGTTCACCCGGGGGTGGAAACCAGCTCTTATGGGGGATGTATCCCGTCGCACATGCGCCGAGGAAGGGATGGTATTATTGATCTGAAGGGGGCGGATGATACGGCCCTCCAGTACCAGTACCGTATCACTATCCTTCCGACGCTAAACTAACATTAAAAACGAAGATATCTTTCGATACAAATCGCAGATCGAGGGAATATCTCGGAAGGAATAACACTGTTCTAACCAGATTCTCACGATTCCCTATCGTTCATTAGAAATCTGAATAGAATCCCATTATTAACTACGAATAATTTCGGCGTTTTTGTAAAAGAGAAGACGAATCATCTCAGAGTTACGTATGACTCGTATACGAATGTTAAAAGAGGCTGCAGATTTTCTAGGGTGAAAGCACCAGGAATGGACGCACCTGCGCTTTGTTCCCTGCATATGCATTCCCGCATGTGCCACTCGGACGTTTCCCCTTAGAGCAAATCCTTATCCGCGTGGGTTCCCCAAGCCACCGTTCCAGCCACTCAAGGGTATTGCCGCTATTCTCTGTCTCGCGTATTACGGTCGCAGTATCTTGCGATTTCCATGCGGCCCGGCAATTTCCACCACGTTTCTAATCCGCATAAATATCTACATAATAAGAGATCGTTCACTAAATCGAATAATTTTAATTATTTATATCGGTCGATATGTTATTATTCGTTCGGTCACTTCGCTTCTTTTCTGTGAATCGCCACGTATCAGCGAGCGATACAATTCGCAGTATAACAGTATTTCATTTGTATTCGGCCGGAGGAAATGGCACGGACTTTGATGTTTCTTGCTGACGCGTCCCGAAAACCTTTTCTATACCTTCCCCCCTTTGGGTTCTCTCTCGGAGACTGATCTGAATGCGTCCTACGTATTTGCCAACCCCTCCCCTCCCGGCCGGGTCCTCCCTTTCTCGAGAATAGCCGCCGACAGCCACAGCCACCCCTTGACACACGTTTCCTCTCCCTTTCCGCGGGTAAAAAGTCACGCTGCGACTTCGTGTGTAACTTAAGTTACCCTCCACAATACTTTATTGTACGACAGGAATGTAAAAGAACTCGGAACCAAGTGTCTAGTTTCCAAATTCCATTTCGTTACGTTTGTACTTATTTTCAAGCGTTCCACGTTTATCAAATGTTTTACACGTTTGATTAAATTAATTTTGTACTTTAACGAAAGCGGAATCGAGCGGAATCCTGAGTGAATCTGCAATTTCTCCCACAAAAGACCACCGACCGTTGCCGGGAGGCACGTCTGATGCAAATCAGTCAGCACTCGGGAGGCATTGTGCTCCCGGGCACGGCGTCGTCCAGCCCCATTTCTCTTCCTCCTTATTTATGCACTCTCGCGTTTCGAGTAATTGCTCCCCCTTGTGACGCGGTCCGCCGCCGCGTCGCGGCTAAGGCCGGTACGCGCGTGTCAACCGCGCAACTGAGGCTTCTTCGTCAACTTCTTCAGCCCGTTCTGCCTTTTCCAGCGCGGAATCCGCTCCGGATTCTACCGGCACGATTTTAATTACCCGTTTCGGTCGCCCTCGCGAAACGGGATCAATCGCGTCCCTGGAATTCGAGCTGTACGTGCTTCTATAATTGATCCGGGATATGACGTTCCTTCGGCCCGGCCTTAATTGGGATAATGCGTCATCGGTACCAATCGACTCCACTGAAACTTGCATTCGACTTTGCTTCTCGTTGTTAGACGGAATGTCACCTCTCAACTGCGCGTACGATGTAATCTAATTAGTGTTGCTCGATATATGACACTAAACAACATTTAGTGATAAAAATCTGTCAATACTTTTCCGACTACCCGATATATCTGTGGTACCAATTTACATGGAAATTGGATAAATTTGATGTTTTCTGTAGACACGACTTTCTTCTAAACGCCGACTAGTCGTTATTGAACGATACATACTACAATCAGATCGTTAAATGTAATTATACCGGGTAAAAAGTAAATACACAAATAAAACCGTTCGTCCCGGTGTAACATGCCATCTGCAGAGGTTTTTCTATTACGTAAATTGGCGACGCAGCATGTCCCGTGTGTAATCAAGATTGATTTAGATCGCACTTTGTAATTACGAATCGTTGACCGGCACGGAAACCGAGGCGTCCATCGTGTTTCTTCTTGCACGTCTTTCTTACCCGTTCCGTGTCCCCTCCGTCTTCCCCCGTCGCTCGTACCCTTTCGGCTTTTGTGCTCTTAACAATGCTTTTAATTACCCGCTCCGCGACGTCGGGTCGTCGCGGATCCGATCGGCGACTAGCAATTATCCTGATAAAATATTCCCTACCGCGCGGCACGCAATTGTTTCTAATAAATTGGTTGATCGACCAATCATCGATCACGATTAGATTAACCGCGTCTACTGAAATAATCCAAGGCAGCTTTCAAAAGGAAAATATTAACTGGGCGGAAACGAGACGTTGGCCTCGATATTCTTCGACGAGTGTAAAGAGACCTGACATTATTACAAGCTCGTACATCAACATCGCTTACAGTCAAGAAAATTTCCTTTAACAATTTCTCTTCACCGTACAGCTCGTTCCTCCCTTCGGACAAAATTGGACAAGAAATATTATTTAAGCCGTCCATTTCAATCTCTTCGTCAGAGAAGTTGAATTTATCGCATCGAAGTTCGTTAAAAAAATATTCGTAGTCATACGATCGAAGGCACACGCATTCCCCGAAAAATGCGACGGATAGGTGAAGAGTTATGAGAGGGCCGGCCGTGAATACGGGACCATTATTCCACGCGATAAAGCAATTCCCCTGCACTCACTTCAATTATGTTTCTGCTATTTAGCATCGGTCGTTGCGAGAAGGGACGCACGCGTAGCAGGAAATCGGGAGCGAGCCGGAAATAGAAACACCAATGCGTGCGCGACGCGTAATCGTAAAAATGACTGAATTCTTTGTTTCGATCGTTGCGTAGTTTTCATTACGTGTCATTCGTGCTATATATTGGAAAGGAAAGCCAGTTTTCTTCTCTTTTCTTTCCACCCTCGTCCCTTCTTTAGAAGTAATCACAATATGTATGAGAGGCGAGAAGACAGAAATCCGTCAAGATGCGCGCAAGCCTCACCTAGCACTCAGTTTTCTCATCGGAATTGCAAGCAGTTCCGTTTCCACTGCGAACTATATACATTATTCCATACTCACTTGCGAAGTTACATAGGCCACTGTACTTACTGATGATCCTTGAATTTAAAAACAGGACCAATCGATCAAATCCGAACGGGAAATCATTTAACTCTCTCTACTTGAGAAATCTACAGATGGTATTTCTGTTGGTTTTTCCTTTTAAAAGCACGGCTCACTCGATATTTTCATTTTGTATTAAGCCAACGTTCCCGTAAACGACTCAAGGGCTGATCTAGATACGAATAATATCTGGGGTGTTTTCCTTAGCCGCCGTTGAATTACTATACGATTCATGTTTCGAATTGACTCACAAAACGCAAAAGCGGAACCAGAGAAATGTTATTGTACGTCGGCGAAGCCATCACTGCCTGGCCAGATATACCGCCGAGGTGGAACGTTGTATTTTTACAGGATTGCACGGATTTTTACGCCGATGAATATTGGACGAATCGAATGGACTCGCGTTGCCTTCATGCTTCTTGTATAAAAAGAAGTTATAATAACAGATAGAGATCGAGAGGCGGGACAGATATTCGTTTAAAAATTGCATATTCACGACTCGACGGAGACGCGATAAGGCGGTCGATTTGGCAGGAATACATAGAGACACAAAGAGAGTGAGAGAGAGAGCGGGGGTTTCATGGTACATTTTGTCCGACCACTTTTGTCGAAAATGTCATCGTTTAAGAATCCAATATAGCCGTGGCAAAAGGGCATTGAGTGGAAGAGAGGGTAATTTGACTCCGGAATTTCTCGAGCTGCTCGCCGTGGAACATCGCCACCCACTTCTCTCCCCCTTTTCTTTCTCTTTCTCCCGCCTCCCGCGTCGCTCCCCGCTATAAGGATAATGAGGATCCTTGGACCGGTAAGACGAGACGGAACGATCCTATTTCGACGATTACGTTAAAACGTTGATTATATTTCTCGGCGATAAAAATCGATTCCCTCTCCTACGAAACAGGGAAATAATGTTTTCAGCTCCAAGATACGATCTTCGATTATTCGCGATGTTCGACGGTAACGGTCGTCCTTAAAAATTGTAAAGACAACGTTTGCCGGAGGAGAACACCATTACATAATTCTTTGGAGGACTGACATGTTTGATTCCCGTCCGGACCGATAATCTCCCCCGATCTAACGAAGCCAGGAAGAAGACTTACCGCGTAGACAGACAAGGAATCGCCCTTCTTTTCGTTTCCCTCTCTACCAAGATTCCTCGACCCCCGCGCAATTACAGAAATTAAAGAATCCGGGATGGCGCGGACCGCCACCGGTCGATTTCT